GACCACTTCTCTACCCCAACTCCAACCACCTCTTCCCCCGGCGACGGCCCACCATCAACCTCTAGCACCCAACCCCAAATCACACCCCCCCTTCCAACCACCTTTGAAGCCATACAAACCCCACCCACATATTCATCCCTCTTCGGCCCGCTCTCTCCTTCTCTTTTTGTTTTTTTTAATAACCAAAAACAATAATCCATATGCAGCAAACCAATGAAAACCTTTACAAATGGAGTGCACTATGCATACTAAAAGGGTGCAAGCATAAGCTCAAATCCATCCGCAATACTATTACCGTATCTCCTGCAAATCAATAGATCTAGATAGACAATTTTGAAATTTAACATTCCATTGCATGCGCAAAACAGTATAAAATCCAACCTCATAGCCATCCAATGAGATCCCATAAGAACCTATCGAATTATCAACTAACCATAACATCTAACCCTCGTGTGTCAAACATCGCAAACAAGGTTTGAAACCCATTTCCATTTCCTCCTCATTTCTCCCTCCTCTCAAACCTATTTCCCACAGTGATTTCTTTGCAGCAACCCAATCAAAGAGGTGCTCTGGGGTGGGTCGGGGCTACGTGGTTTGAGGGTTAGGGAGGTGCGTAGGTTGGGGAGATCAAGGTGGGGTTGTGTGGGTGGGGAGGCGGCTGGGGGCTGGGTGTGTGGGGTTGATACGAGGGGGAGGGGAAGAATGTTGTTGGGTTAGATTTTTTTCTTAAATTTAATTTTTTTAATTGAAGAGTTATTTATTATTTATTTTGTCAACACGGAATCCATGTCATTAAAAAATTGGGCTCCCCTTGCCACGTAACCATTGAGTGGGTGGATAATGATTCATGTGTACAAAATTACAAAAACACCCTTATCATGTCATCAAAGTTAACAGACTTTTGGACGGAGTTGACGACATGGGCAAAGTGGGTCAACAAACCACGGTCAAGTGGGGTAAGAACGCCACTTTAAGTTTGAGGGGGCAATGTGAGATTTGACCGTAGTTTCAGGGGGCACTGGTGTAAATAAGCCTAAAAGAAGAGTTCATTGCTAGAAATTGTACACCCAGTTTCTCTCTTTATGGCGGCAACCGTTCATAGATTTATAAGGAGTGCTAAGAAATATATTATAAATATTCCTTTGAAAATTTCAAACCACTATACTTAGACGGTCAAACATGAATGGGTAAGATTGCAAAGAAATCGTCAAATAAAGATTCCACTTTCCTGCTCTTTTTTCCACTACGTTCGATTTATTGGTAATTACACGTAATGAACTAATTCATGTCAGATATCTTGGAGTACATCGCTCTGAGTCTTGTCCAGTTGATTATTTAATCCAACTAAAGAAAGTATAGACCCGATCTTCTTGAATAATTTCATTATACCTCTTGATATCCGACTCACACTGCATTGGATTAGGATGACGAAAGTCAATCTCTCTCCACAAACCCTGGAGGGTATTGTAGTATGTTTCAATAGAGCCACATGATTGTCTCAGTCCGGATAATCGCCTTTTAAGATCATGCGTCTGAAAGATATCGGAGTCATCAAAGTAAGTTGTGGCAATTGCATCCCATATTGCTTTTGTAGTGGGAAGGCGAATAAAATTGCTAATCAATTTCAGCTCCATAGAATTGATTAGCCATCCTTTCACAATCGAATTTTCTGTTCGCCATTTGTTGAATGTCGGGTCCGTCTGGGGAGGTTGTGGTAGTTCTTCATTTATATATCCCAATTTATCTTTGCCTGAGATACGTATCTCAATGACTTGGGACCATATGGCATAGTTGGTGCCATCCAACTTGATGCCAATTTGTGCCACGGAAGATTCATAGGTTATAGTCTGAGTCGGGATCTGGTTATGGGCCTGATTCAGTAACTTGGTGTCTGCCGCGCAAATCTCACGGCCTGGAGTTCTGGGCCGAGGGGATGTGCGTTGACACGGGGTTTCCTGCTTTTGGGTGAGGTGCGGTTGTGCGCGGGCGTGCCAGCACGGTCTACCGTGCGTTGATGTGTTGATGAGTGTTGGGTGGATAAATGGTGCGCCTGTTTGATCTGTCTTCCTAGTCAAACGATTGTAGCCGAGAGAGGAACTGGTCTCGGCTGTTAGGTTCACGGCCTGAACTACAAGGCCGTTGAGTGATGGTGTTGGTGGTGGGTTTTGGGCGATGCTCCGGCGCGCTGCTCAGGGAGCGACGGTCGTGTGATATATGGGGTGAATGAACGAACAACAAGGATGGTGCTCCGGCGCCTTGAAAATCAAGGGTCGTATGATA